GTTTTTGACGAATGAAAAGGGGACTGAAAAAAACAAAAAATAAAAAAATCCCCAATCTCCTCTGCCTATCTTTACCACCCCCACCTCCGGGCCCGCACTTTCCCTTTGCCCAAGTCATTTGATCTCCAAAGGGAAATTCACTTTATAAAACCAGGGTTTTTTTCTTTACATTCTCTTTTATTATTTTTTTTTTCAATATCTCTTATTTAAAAAATGCGTAACCCCTTTTTTTTATTTAAAAAAAACCCCAAAAAAAAAAAATTGGGTTTATTTTTTGGGGGGGTGAAAGGGGTTAATGGCATTTCAATAAATTTCAATGAGGAAAAGTTTTTTTTTCATACAAGCAAAAGAGTTACAAGCCTTTGGGCATGGAACGAATTAAACCCGTAAGTCCCAAAGGGACCACTGTATTCACATGGAGGCCCAAAAGGGGAAAGTTTCCCGAGAAAAGTGGTACCCCCCAACTTTTATATGGGGGAGAGGGATGGGGTTTTGGATGCTGCAATGGGGAGGGTAGGAGGTTGGGGGTAGTGGAAAAATTTATGTTGGGGGAAACCCAAAATTGGGGAAAGGGGTATCATGCAGAAATTTAGAAACATTTGAATTAAAAAGGGGATATGGGGGGACCCAAAGGGGGCTGAGGAAGGGGGTTTTTTTAAATTATTGGACGCATGGAAAAAAGGGTGGAAGGGGTAGGGTGAAAAAAAAGGGGGTTAAAAAATTGGGGTGAAAGGGGGAAAAAAGGGGTAGGGGTTTTTTACAGAAATGGCTGGGGAATTTAGCTTTAAAAGAGGGGTTTGATTTTTGGGGTTGAGTATCCCGCAGGTTTGTGGGGAGCAAATTAGATAGAACGAAAAGAGAAAAGTGGGTTTTTTAATTTAACATAATGTTTGGGATTTATGGGGTTTGGAAAAAAACCCTATGACCCGGTGGAAAAAGGGGGGGCAATGTGGCAATGTTGCAAGTGTATTGGGGTAAGGGGGTAGGTTACTGAAAAACATTAAGAGTTTTTTTTTGAGGGAAAATGGGCTTTAAGTTAGAGTATGTAGGGAAAGAGGGGGAAAATTTTTTTTCCCCGTAAAAAATAGGCCTTAGGGCAAGGATGTGTGATGGGCACCCGGGGTTTTTTAATATATTTATAGATGGGGTTTTTAAGAGAAAATAAAAAGCGAGGGTTTTTGGCAAGAGGCGTTTGGGGGTTTTAAAAAATAAAAAATCACACACAAAGTGGGGGTTGTCAAAGCCCCTCTTTGCTGATGGAACCCCTGTTTCTCTTGGGAATTTTTGAAGAGAAGTTGCGAGATTGGTGGATGAATTTGGTAGGGGGGGGGGCCCAAAAAAAGAAAATTTAAAAGGGAATCAGGGGAAAAAGTAAGGTTTTGAGGGGGAACAAAAAAAAATTAAAGGGGATGAAAGATTGAATGTTAAATTGGGGGGGGGAGAGGGGTATGGAGGAGGTGAACGTATTTAGATATTTGGAAGTGGCGGTAGCGGATTGGGGCCCTTTAAAGGTGAGGGGGAAAACAAGAATTTATGAAGGGGAAAAAAAGTGAGTGGGTTTCACTTAGGAGTCTGTGGAGACAAAGAAAATTGTCCTTGGGGCAAAGAGGGGAATGTATGAGAGTTTTTAGTTTTACCCCCGCCCTTTATGGGGGTGAAGCATGGGTGATGAAAAGTTGCAGCGAGGGGAAGGTGGAGGCAAATGGAGAAAGTTTATTTTTCTTTAGGGTAAAGTGGGGGTTTGAATATAAAATTCAGAGAATTTGTGTTTGGAAGTTAGGGGGAGGGGCGGGATTTCCAAAACTGTTGTCCAAGGGCTGAGGAAGGGTTGTTGGTGGTTCGGGCAAGTTTTGAGAAATGAGGCCCAAACCGAATGACTTTTTAAGAGGTATTAGTCTGTAGTGGAAGGAAAACGGGGGGGGGTCGGCCCAGGAAAGGGTTGGAGGGGGGGGGTAAAGGAGGTTTTGTGTTTCGAAGGGGGGTTGGACTTCCCAGGCAAAGCATGAGCGTTTTTGATAAGTGAATGGAGACAAATGGTTTTTTTTAAAACGGGCCCTGTGTTGGAGTGTGGGGCAAATTTAAATTTATGAAGGGGTTCCCGGGGAAAAACCCGGGAGGGGACTTTTAGTCCGGGAGGGTTTGGGGAAATAAGTGCCTGCCCCTCTGAAGGAGGGGGGGTTAATGTTGGCCCGTTTTAAAAAAATGTATTTTAAAAACACCCCCTTTTGGCAAGGGGCAGTGATGGAGTGAATGAAGGGGGAAAATTTTTCTTTTTGGGGCCCCCCTGCCTTGGTGGGAAATCGGCCCTTTTTAAAAATTTAAAAATAATAATGGTTTTGGAGGGGGCAGGTGACTTATATGAAAGGTTAGGGGGAAAACCAGTTAGCTGGAAATTTTAGCCATGGTGGAAAAAAAAGGTAGGCCTCATTCTGAAGGGGGTGTGGGGGTGGACAATCAGAAGCAATCTGACTTTGATGTCAGGGATACTTCCAGAGAGACAGAGATTGAATGCCTTTTTAGGGGACAAACAGGAAAATTTTTCTTGGGTTTTTTGAATGATGAGAACGTGTGGGAAAAAGAGAAAAATATACATTTTATTACTGGGAAAAATGAAATTTTGCAGTTGTTTCAAAACCCGAGTTACCCCCAATTTTTATTTAATAATTCCCAAAACTTTCCCACTATCACTACCAAAGCTTAAATCAAAACATCAAATCACCTAAAAAACCCCCAATAAAACCCCGCAAAAGGCAGGGAGTTAAAAAATTTTGGGAAAAAAATTCCCACTTTCCCCCCCAGCAAACTCCCCCCAATTTTCAAGTCTTTAATTGCTTACCCCTTAAAAAACATCCATACTTATTCATGTGCCTACTAAAATACACAGAAAAATACATGCAAATATAAACCCCCCCCTTCAAACTTTTTTTTTTCCCCAACCAACCCAAACAGGGGCCATGACCACCAAAACAAGGGCGCCCGATCTCTTTTTTGATATACCTTGGTCCATATCACACTGTGTAAAAAAATGATGCACTAAAGGGCCCCCAAAAAATGGAATTTAATTTTCCAGAAGATATTAAAAATAACCCAGTTGAAAATCCAAATTTTAAGGGCTCTTCCAAAAAGCACTTTAAACACCCTAGACTAAATCTAAATTAATCAGTTAAAAATTTACTCACCTATGTACTCCCCCCCATCGTAAGGTGAAACAATTTACGTTTAAGGTTTTTTTCCAATTTTTTTGACAGGAAAAAAATTGAATCATTGTTTTTTTTCAAAAGCATTTTTGAAAAATTTAAAAAAATATATCTCTGTTTTTTATCTAGGTAGTAGGGTTTGGGAGACAAGGGAAACCCCCAGGGAGGTTTCTACCGTCCTGCCAAGTGAGTTTTAAAACAAAGCCGGGAATTGTTTTAAAATGATGGTAGGATTGCTGGTGTCCTTTTTTTTTGGGCTCAAAAACATGCAAGATTTCGGTACGTCTTGCCCCTTCTACTTTCCTTAGGTCACCCCTAAAACATACATGTAAAAAGCATATATATGTATATATACACTTTCCCCTGGGGGTTTTTTTCTTTTCCTTTCTAGTTCTTGTTCTTGTTTTATTTTTCCCCTTATCTCCATGGGGAGGGGAACAGAATTCTTCCTCTGTAAGCCATCGTGTTGTAAAGAAAGGGGACTAAAATGCCAGGAGCCAAATGGGCAAATAAACCCCCTTTTCCCTTTTAAAAAAAAACTAAAATTTTAAAAAAAGAAAAATTTCGTTTTTTTTTTTTGGGCCACCCTCCCTGGTGGGATACAGCGGTTTTTTGAAAAAAAAAATCTTTGTATTAAAACAAATTTTTATTCAATTTTTTAATTTAATTTTTCTAATATACAAAATATGAAATAATTACTTTTCCCACTGTACAGTACAACTATGATACACACCCTTAGTAAAATTTAAATAGAATGTAAGCCCAAAAATGTTAAGTTGGCCCTAATGCCAAGGCATAATGGGGGGCTCTCTTTGGGATTGCAACCCCTATTTTTTATACAAAATCTTTAATGTACTATTTGGGGAAAGGGAAAAAAATTTTTTTAAAAAAAAAAATAAATAAATAAAAAATAAAAAAAAAATTATTTAGAAAATTTTGTTTCAAAGAAAAAGGAAAAAGAAATAAAAGTGTGCACTAGAGCTTAAAACAACAACCAGGAATAGGTGGAAAAAAAGTCGAAAAAAAAAATTTTTCCCTCAAAAATTTTTTTTCACAACTGATTTTATTTGGGTCTAAAATTTTAAAAGGATTTGACTCTTAAAGTTCGAAAACAAAAGTTTTCCAAAAAGGGGAACAAAAAAATTTGTTATACAAAATTTAAAGCTTTGAAAAAATTAAATTTTCTAACCCGCAGCAAAATTTTAAAAATTTCAAGTTAGGAAAAAAATAAGATAGAAGCACCATAAAAGTTGACAAATTTGTAATTTTACAAGTGGAATATAAAAAATAAAAATTTGGGGGCATCCCCAAAATTTTAAATTTTATTAAATATCACTGTCCCAAAAAAAGAATTTTTAAATACCGTAAAGTCCTCGACCTTTCAAAAAAACTTTTAGAATCTTTTTTATTGTGCTATTTCTTATTATTATATTTTTTTGTTATTTTTTATTTTAAAACAATTTCGAAGGTCCTCAAAGTTTCATAACTTGAAAAAATTTCCCCGTATTATAAAATTATACAAATTCGGAGATCCCCCCCTTTGGGTCGTAATTGAAAGGGCTTCCTGTATAGACAAAATGAATTAAAAAACAAAATTAAATATGGGGGCTTCCGAAAATTGATGTGAATGCCGTCCCAAAAAAATTTTTTGTAATGGGCCTTTCCCGAAAAAGGGCTTACTTTATGTAAATGTTTGGGTTTGTGGCAGTAAGAGAGGGAAATTTTTGGATGGTTTTCTTTTTAGCTGTGACTGAGGCTGCAAATTTTCAGGGGCCCGGGAAAGTTTGCAGGTTTTTTGGCTGATCACCCAAAGCTTGGAAAGTCTGGATACCACACTGGATGGAGACTGGGGGGCAAGAGCAAAAAAAGTGCCATTGCTGCTCCTGAGTCCGGAAAATGGGGTAGTTTTTTACCAGGAGATGGGGACTGGTGAACCCCCTTGCCCCAGGGGACGCTAGTTGCTGAAAACGAGAGTGAATGTGTCTCTTTGCTGTAAATTCTGTTTTTTCTACTTGCCCCCGGGGGGGGCCCCCCTTTCTGAAATGATCAGCATACAATAGGGAAAAAAAAAATCAGGAAAATTTTAAAAAACTTTGCCTTATATGTACAGGAAAAACATATGTTTGTTAATTCTACTACAAAAATGCAGCTGTTCTGCTACAGTAAAATTTTTGCTATGTTTGGGAAACCCATGGAGGAAGTGAATGTGTTTAATCTTTTTTTGGGGGCAACCGTCGGTGAATGGGGGATATGAGAACAAGAAAGAGGGCCCAAAATGATGAAGGGAAAAAGGAGGGTGGGGGGGAATGAGTCTCGTGGGGACAAAGAACGTTTTTTTTCCCTGAAGGAAAAAGAGGAATGTATGAGAGAATAGTGGGGACCAATTCTTCTAAATGGGTGTGAAGCACAGGGTTTGGGGGGGTTTCTGCAAGGGGGAGGGGTTGGAGGGGAGTGGAGATGTTGTGTATGAGGGGGAAAGCTTGGTGCAATATTTTTTACAAAAAAAAAAAAATAGTTTGGAGATTAGAAGGAAGTGTGGAGTTTTCTCCTAGGGCCCGAGGAAAGGGGGTTGGGGTTTTTTTTTAAGGGAATTTTTGGGTTTTGTAGAAAGAAATTAAGCCAAAAACAGGGGTAAAAATGGAGATGTATAAATCTGTATGGAAGGAAGGCGGGGGAGGGGTCGTTTCCCAGGAAAAAGGGTTTGGGAAAGGGGGGGGTAAAGGTTTTGTATCCAAGGAGCCAGAAATTCAGGGGATAATCACAGACAACACCACGGGGAAATACCCTACCTTTCAAAAAACCAAGACCCCTACTAAATTTTCCTTCAATACATAATGAGACAGAGTTAATAAAAAATTTTAAAAACCTATGATTAAAAATTTGATTGGAATAATGGGGAAGAAACGATACAGAATGAAAGAATGTATTAAAATTTTTTAAAAAAAAAAAAAAAAAAAAAAAAACCTCTATAACAAGCATTAAACCCCTTAAAAAAAACCAAAAAAGATCACAGCTTAAAAGGGGCTAAACAGTCCCCCGGCTAAAAACCCAGCATTTCCTTTTAAAAACCATTTAAAAAAAAGCACCTATATGAAAAACAGTACAGAAAAGGGCCCAAATAACCGAGACTGTTCTAAAAGTTTCTTTATCAATCCTACCCCCAAAATAAGGGCCAAAAAAAAAAAAAAAATATTTTGGAAAAAACAGATTACATAACAAAAAAAGGTGATATAAAAAAGAAACCCGGAAAACCCTATCTAAATTTTGGAACTAAAAGATATCCAAAAACAAAAAAACTCAAATTAACAAAATCAATGAGTACTCCCCCCAACTGAAAAAAGCAAACAGACCCCCAAAGTTTTTTCCCACCATAGGAAAAAAATCTACGACAAAAAATTTTTAGGCCCCCAAAAGAACCCACAGAAATCTCGCTTTATTTCAACACTTCTTAAAAACAAGGCAGGAGATATAAATAACTTACCACCTTTTATGTACAAAAAAGCTTCTCAAGTACTGTCACCAATTATTGCAACGCTCTTTAACAAATCCATCGGGAAACCTTCCATTTTTCCCCTCAAAATTTTCCCAAAAAAAGTGAGGGTCACCCCATCCACAAAGGGGGAGATCAAACAGACTTGAATAACTATAGACCAATATCTAACCTACCTCTGCTCTCTAAAATCTTTAGTGCTGAATTGCAGAAAGTATCTACCTGGATGATGACTAACAAGCTTACACTCAATACTGACAAAACCTATTTCATTCAGTTTGGAAACAGAGCCACAAATGTTCCACTTAACATAACACTAAAGGATCACCCATCACAAGACACACAGAGGGAAAATTCCTAGGAATCCACCTTGACAGTAGCCTTAAATTCCAGACCCATATACAACAAATTTCCAAGAAAAATCTCTAAGACAGTAGGCATACAGTAGAACCTCAAAAATCGAACTGCTCCCAACACGACCAATTATGTAAGTGTATTTTTGTAAGTGCTTTTATAAGTGTATTTTTGAGGGTCTGAAATGTACTAATCTAATTTACATTATTCCTGATGGGAATAAATTCATTCGGTAAAGGCACTCGAACAGCCTTCTGGACCGAAGAAAGTTCGATATTTGAGGTTCCACTGTACTATCAAAGATACGGTACTATGTTCCAAAATCAACTCTCCTTGCACTGTATCACTCACTCATCTACCCTTATCTCACCCATGGAATTTGTGCTTGGGGATCAACAACATTAACCCTTAAACTCTCCAAACGTAGATCTACGTTCACCTGCGTAGCGCTCTGAATATTTTGAAAAATAAAAAAAATATTTTTTTTTTTAAATTAAAGAGGACAATTTTGTGTGTGGTATAAGACAAAAAAAAAAATTTAGGACCAGTACTTACCAAGATATAAGACCGGGAAGTTGGCGCTGAATGCTCACATGACGGTAAAATCGAGTCCTGCCACTTGCAGAAGCGTTGCCGATATACCTTATTTTCTCATTTTTATTTTAACCCTTAAACTGTCCAAACGTAGATCTACATTTGCACCGTTAGTGTTCCAAACGTTGATCTACGCTTTATTTTTCCTGCCTCCAGATTTGGCATGATTGGCCTGGTCAGTATAGAATGGGTCTTAACACTTAGTGTTTGCAGTATTAAAAAAATCTGGAACCACTTAGTACTTTGTGGGAACGTGGGAGCACCAGTTCAATTGAGCTCCAGCTAGAGCAAACAGCGTGGGAAACACCAGGGATCACTGATGTCATGTCATATTAACACTCCCCTTTTAAGAGGAAAGTTATGGATGTGGCCACAACTGGTCGTGGAAATATCAAAAACCACAATAACAACCCATGTGAAACATTTGTGCAACATCCTTTCATTTTTTATACCACTGGCTATCTCTGTCTCCATCTGTCTACATCTCTGTCTCTATATCACTGTCTGTCTATATCTCTGTCACATGTACACATAAGTACAGTTATTATACATAATGTAAATTACCTAGGATAACCCAAAAATTCCAGGCAAAGTGCCATATAGTGCTGTAGATAGAAGACATAACATCCATGACTGGTAATTCAGTGGCAAGTAATACGCATTTTCACTTCATCAGGAATCAGACGTGACTACTGCATCGTGTGTAATACCTGTTCATTTACGAGCTACTCTCCAAGACTGAGACAAGCAGACAGAAACACACACACACACACACACACACACACACACACACACACACAGGCAGACAGAAAGACTGAGACACACAGGCAGACAGAAAGACAGACACACACAGACAGAAAGACAGACACACACAGGCAGACAGAAAGACACACACACAGGCAGACAGAAAGATAAGCAGAGATAGACAGATAAACAGATATATATGTTTGTGTTTAACAGTGTAAACAAATAAAGCCAGGGTTCCCTGCAGCAGTGCACTATCATTGTGTCACTCCACTGCTTACCCTGTCAGTAGTTTAGCGACACTTGTCATAAACACAATGCTTCAAGAAGTTTCATATATACTCCAGCATGTCTAAAACATTGCTGAGACCTATAAATACTTTGTATATATTTCTAGACAATAATAAATGGCCAAAACAGGTGAAACTGTACACCTGCTGGTGTAATTGTGACTATTTGAGTACTATTTCAGTACCTAATATTATTGTCAGAACAAAGACTGGCTATGAAATCACAAGAACTATTATAAATTGTAATTATCAGAACACAAAAATCATATAAATTAAAATAAAAATGAGAAAAAAAGGTTTATCAGCAACACTTCTGCAAGCAGCAGGACTCGATGTTGCTGTCAGGTGAGCATCCAGCACTAACTTCGTTGTCTTATATCTCGGTAAGTACTAGTCCTAATTTTTTTTTTTTTGGTCTTATAATACACAGAAAATTGCCCTCTTTAATTAAAAAAAAAAAGATTTCTTTATTTTTCAAAATATTCAGAGTGCTGGCAGTGAAAATGTAGATCTATGTTTGGACAGAGTAAGGGTTAATTTATATACTTTTTATTTTCTGATAATTACACTTTATAATAGCTCTTGTGATTTCAGGGCCAATCTTTGTTCTGACACTAATATTAGGTACTGAAACAGTACTCGAATAGTCACAATCATTCCGACAGGTGAACATTTTCACCTGCCTTGGTCATTTACTATTGTCTAGAAATATATACAAATTATTTATAGGTCTCAGCAATGTTTTAGACACGCTGGAGTATGAAACTCCTTGAAGAATGGCATTATGACTATGTCAGATAACTAGTGACAGCCAGTGACATTTGATGAATGTGAGCTGCTGCAGGGAACCCTGGCTTTGTTTGTTTTCACTGTTGCACACAAATATGTCTGTGTCTGTCTGTCTGTCTATCTCTGTATCTGTGTGTCTAGCTCTGCTTATCTGTCTTTCTGCCTGTGTATGCCTGGAGTATATATGAATGTAAGCTGCTGCAGGGAACCTTAGCTTTATCTGTTTTCACTGTTGCAAACAAATATGTCTCTGTCTGTCTATCAGTATGTCTATCTCTGTATCTGTCTGTCTAGCTCTGCTTATCTGTCTATCTGCTTATCTGTCTGTCTAGCTCTGCTTATCTGTCTTTCTGTCTGCCTGTCTATATGTCTGTCTTTCCATCTGCTTGTCTCTGTCTCAGGGAGCGGTTAATAAATCTGCTGGTTTCTAGTTTATGAGCGGCTCCCTGATTGCTGACACTGTTATTGCTTGTGTCATGTTTATTTATGTCTTATATCTACAAAAATGCCGGGAACAATGGGCTAGTAACCCCTTTTCCTGTAAAGATTACTAAAAAGAATAAGAAGAAGAAAATTGTCAAAGTGGGAAGTCTGAATGTGCGTGGATGTTGTGCAGATGATAAGAAAGAGATGATTGTGGATGTTATGAATGAGAAGAAGCTGGATGTCCTGGCTTTAAGTGAAACAAAGCTGAAGGGGG